AGGAGTGCCATAGGTCGAAATGGAGCGATGTATTTTCTTAAGCTGCCACCATGCACCCAACGGATTTATATTATTTGAATTTATTTCTTATTCTCGATGTTTTGGGTAGCTATTTTACAACAAACCAGATCATGGGGTGACTGAGGTGTTTGACCACATGATATCGTAGTTAATCTTGAATACCTTCAGCTATTCCTTTAAAAAAATTAAGAGCGATTTAACAAAACTAAACTAAATCAACTAAGCCTAACAGATCAGTAAGGGGATTTGCAATAAACCGGCTATATAGCTCTAAGAACCGACAGGCGATGGTGAAGAAAGCTTTTTCTTATGGAAGCTGTTACGTGAAGTGTAACATCACACTAAATAGAGGGACGACATGACCACCCACCTGGTATAGGATGCAGGAAGTCGATAGACGCAGGTACGAACCTTGCATTGTGGCATTTCTTGAGAGAGGCCTATGTTTTGAAGTGATGGGCTGTGATGGTGATGAAAATGATGATGAATATGTATTATTTGCGTGAATAAGAGAAATAATTATACTTAATACGAAACAACCGTTGCGTGTGAAAATCAATTTTAAAATGTTGCAATTACCCGATAAAATAACTAACCCCGTAAAATAAAAGTAAAGTGATTTCTGAACGTGCCAGTAAATAAAAAAGCTTCTGTATATCTCAAGAAAAAGGGATGCCTTTAAGTAAATACATGCATTCCGTGGCGCCCTTATTTTTCCGTTAGGGTCAGAAAAGGATTCGTTATCGAACACGTAACTAGCACTGGCGGAGGGTCGCTAGGGTCGCGAAGGGCCGCGGCGAGCCATTTACCTTGCCACGCGAGGGGCACAACAGCGACAGATGCGTGATCCCTTGAGTCCCGAATGCAGAGTGACTCATCGACAGAGACTGCAAGAAACGAACTCAACAAAATTGCTAATGATTTCTTATATTTACGCGAACACTACACATTAAAATAAAACTAGTTTTTACAGTTTTTATCGCGTATATTAACTTTTTTATATGTTCCCAACGTTTCGAGCACTTTACAGCACCTATGGTCACGAGGGGGGGACTGAGGTGTTCGACGTCCCGATGTCATAGTTAACCGCGGTTACACGTATATTAAAATTATTAATTTTTGTTCCGATCTACACAGTATGAACTTATAGTATCTTGAAGTCTTACAGTTGTATGCTTAGGTTGCTTATTAAATATTCCACGCAGATGGTAGCACCTAGCCATCTTCTCAATTGATATTAGGATGTTTAACATCCTAATTTGTACAGATACGTTGGAAATAAAAAACAAGTTTTATTTAAATAAAAATTGCTACATAAATGATATGACCATATCATGAAATGATAGTGACTCTTCGATTATCATACTAACAGTTCCGATTACTTTCTTTTTTAACACATATCTACCCTATGCTGCTTGTAGTAGTAGTACAGTATGCTTTTTGAGGGAACGCAAGTCGTACGAATCGATTTTAAGATATACGTACTCAAGTGTTTACTTCGTAAGTAGGTTGCTTATAATCCCTTTTATGTTCATTTCTTGTTCCATTTAGCACTCTGGTTCTTCATCTATGTGTTTGATCTTTAATATACTGTCTGATTTCTAATATTAAGGGAAATACATAAAAGTCCGTTCTGTTTTCGAAGCAATCTGGGTGATTTGCACACATCAACCATTTGTCATTCAGAGACATAGTTTAAAATTCATGGGTACGTCGCCTATCTTCGGTAAATTTATCAAAGGCTTTTCATCCTAATTGTATTTAGTTGTTTTTATACGTGGTAGAGCCATGGTGCAGCTATATTATGGTTGAGCCGGACCGGACCGGACCGGAGACGCGTTTGACTGGAATCGAGGCATTCCATCTTAGTCCTCAGGAGTGAGAACGCATCCGCATTTTGATTCTTAATGCAGGTTAAATGTAGATGTCTATAGGCCACAGCATCCATTTCCCATCAGGCGGACTGTGTGCTCGTTTGTCACCTTTATCCTATAAAAAAAAACATATTTATCTGGAATATAATAACAAAATAGTTAGATTTGTAATATTTTATTTAGGGATTGTAGGTTTGGGTTTAATCTTCAAGCTTGGCAGGGCGATTGATGATCGCAGACGTTTCACACCTTTGATGCCGCTCCCCGTCGCTGGTCTGAGTATTATACGTTTTTACGATGTATTGACATTTATCGGAAACCATGATATTTCCCTGGCATATCCCATAGTAGCCAGTAGTTCGATTTTATTTGTAAATTGGTACTACAACTTTTACTGTATTGCAAAACGATGTTATTTATTTATTTTTATTGGGTTATTGTTTACACAACGCAATAATAAATACGCTTTTAAAGGATAGTTATCAAAAAATCTTGGAAAATAAAAATAAATGAAAAAAAAAAAGATATTTTGCTGAAATCTTTGTGCTTATATTGATCTATGCAAACAAAACTACAGCAAGCTTCATTTGAGAACGATTCGTTTGACGCTAGTTGCATTGTGACCGAGGGGACAGATCCGAGGGCTTAGAGACAATTTGAGATTCGCAAAGCGATACTTTACGTCGATTAAATATATTTATGGTAATCTTTACGCTCTCAAACGGAAGATCGAAGATTTGTTTGAGATTTATTTCCTTTGGGGTGGTTCAGTTACCAATACTATTTTTTTGCATGTAACAAATTATTTTTATATACGATTTTTGTTTAAGGCTATTTCTATTTTTATTACTCTAAACACTATCAAAATAAGCTATTAAGTCTCACTTTTTCGAATATAGAAAATGAAAAAACAAATTCGGTATGTTTATTTAAAGGGATTGTAAATACACGTTATCGCGTTGATGAATGATCCGGCGTCGGGGGTTAACAAAAATGTTCAGATAGCCGCGATGGTATCGCCGCCGAGCAATTTGTCTAAGTAATTTATAGACACGGCGGTTCATAATTAGAGTTATCTCACAACCGCTCCGCCGTACATAGACTAATGTAGCACTGCTCACACGTCAGCGTCTTTATCTTGACTAGTGACCCGCCCCGTCTTCCGTTCGCATTTGGTCAGGGCTGTCAAGTTAACACATACTTTTAATATATATTTTTTCTTTAACTAACGTTCCGTTCTACAGAGCATTGCAACAACTATGTTCATATTTCCATAGTATTAGAGTGAACAGAATATAAGGACTTATGTTCATCTCTTCCCTTTTTTTCGTTGTACATAACAACGTTATTTTATTTTCTAGCGTATAGCATCAGTTATACCCGAAGAAAAAAAAGTAAAGTAACTCTCTCTAAGTAAGTACGTAAGTACGTACGTACGCAAGGCACAGGGACTTTTCCAAATTATTTTTTATCAGTCCGCAGCACTACTTCAATGTGACGTGTCTGTGTTAAGTCTTCAGATTATTATTAATTTTACAAACATGTAAATAAGGTTCTAAGTAACTTTGTTTCACCATCGACTACGTGGAACATCGGCAGGAAAACTATGATTGACAATTTCTAGGATGTCACGGCATTGTTCACTTTGGGCAGTACCCATAAATTCTTTAATAGGATATTTTAGCGTTATATATGTCAAACGTAGTATAGAAACAAGAAAATAGTTATTAAACTTTTTAATAAAAAAAGTCTTCAAAACTAGAAAAAAATATTTATCGGAATTGATTGAGGTGGAAAGGAATTATTTTAAATATTAAGAGTTTCATGTTTTTCTTATGTGCTTATGGATCCCATTCCATCAGATTTGACCAAATTTATATGGGACCGCCTCTGAAGTAGTCCCTTTCTAACAAAAATCTGGAATCGTAGTAAAGAACTATCGCTTAACATACATTTTTTATTTTTTTTAAAGAATATTAACAATGCTATAAACATTACTAATATTCCCCTTAACCACTCGTGGTAAGCTTAAATTGCTTGTGTTACGAGTGGTTCACGCCAGTATTCGAATGGCGGATTCGAACCCACGACCTTTTTGAGTTCGCGGTCCGCGCCCTGCTATTAGGCTACTGTCGCTTCTACATACATAAAAAATATTCCAACGTACTAAATGAACTTAAAATCAAGAGAAATTAGTCAAGCATTAACTTGTAATACAGTAAAAAAAATGAGAAAAAGCAGGAGCCCTTTTTTAAGTCGGTTAAAACAAAGAATTGATAATACGTACGTTAGCATGCGTCATACAAGTCATATTTTTGTCAACATTTTATTTTTATTGTTACCATAAAATATAATATTCTCGGAAATTCGAGAAGGTACAAGCAGCGTACAGACAGCTTTAACCTCCTTTTTGACACGCAGGTAAAAAATAATCATGCAACTAGTAACCCTATCTAATCCAAGTAGTTCATTACAATCTGTATGTTTTTCGTGCAGTAGGACTGTTAATTAGACATGGCTGAGTGTACATCACCCGACGCCTACTATATCGATGGAGTGATAGGCGTCTTTTTTAATTAAGTGCCGGTACGTAATCACGGTTAGGTGAATGAAGATGAGATATAATAACGAACAAGATCCAAACCGGAATAAACACTGGAATGACAGGTAGGGAGATAGAAAACATTCTGCTGATAAACTTATAAGTAAGATAATTTAAGTGATAAGCCAACTTAACTTAATTGTATTAATGGGTATAAGCGATGGTGAAAATTTTTCTTGATTATGAAGCATCTTAAGTAATTAAGGGAGGTCGATAACTTTAGAAAGGTCTTCAGTGATGGATTTTTTAGGCTCAAGCTGAGAACATTATTATTATTAATAATAATAATGTTCTCAGCTCGAACGGCTAGGACGTGAGGCTGTTCCTTCATCGGGTGAAAATGCTACGGCTGAGGATGCGGCGCCACAACTTGCAGAGCAAACGGCAAACGTGGATGCCGCCGTGAATAACCCAGTTGTGGTTGATTCAAACGATGATGGAATAATCGCCCAGGAACTGGAACTAGAGCAAAGAGGAGTACATTGGAAGAGGCGATTGTGGAAATGCGCAGTACGCCTCTCGAAAATCGACCGCGACTTCCCCGCATAGCCCTAAGCAAGCGGAATCGGGCTGTCGTGAGGGCTCTGAACCCAATGCTGGTGACCTATTTGGAAGCCAGCCGGGACCTTGACTCAATTCCTTTTGGCGCCGTACTGGCAGTCTGCCGTATTATAGGCGTCAACCTCTCCACGGCTGGACGCGCTACTGGACAAAGTAGTGCTATCCCAGCCTGGAGAATAAGAATTGAAGAACCTATCGCAAAGGCTAGGGCCCTCATCGGCAGACTGATATGCTTCAAGTCAGGCAATACCAGGCCAAGGATTGTGCGCACCGTCAGGATGGCGTTTGCTGGGACAAATGTTAGTTTGTCCCAGCCGGATATAATGCAAAAACTGACTAATGGAAAGTGGATTCGGCGATATACCGAGAGGTCGACACGGTTCAACAAGAATCGTCTCTTCCAGAGTGATCAGAAGAGGCTTTATAAATCATTGGAGCGACCAATGGTAAGTGGAACGGGCCCAGCACCGAATCAGGCCGACACGGTCGCATTCTGGCGCAGCCTGTGGTCAGAGCCCGTAAACCACAGTGAAGGCCCTTGCACGGAAGTTGTGGCGAGTCAGTGTGCGGGTATAAAGCTCATCCCGTCGTCATAACGCCGGATGACGTAGCTGAGGCGGTCCGTAGGGCCCCGAACTGGAAAAGTCCGGGGCTTGACGGGCTGCATCACTACTGGCTGAAGGGGTTCATGGTATGTCACGCTGTGCTCGCCCGACAGTTTCAAGAGGCTCTCAACCAGAAGTCGCTCCCAAGCCTGTTCACTACTGGGATTACTTATTTGGTTCCTAAAGACCAGTGTACCACACAGCCGAGCAAATAACACCCCATCACGTGTCTACCGACCATATACAAGACACTAACATCCATTTTGAGCGCGAGAATCACTCGTCACCTGGACTCAAATCAGGTAATGTCGCGCGCTCAAAATGGATGTCGGGGCGGCGGTCGTGGAACCAAGGAACCACTCCTCATTGACGCGGTCATTGGCAAAGTGGTGAAACGCAACCGTCGGAACGTCTCCGCCGCCTGGATAGACTACAGAAAGGCATTTGACTCGGTGCCCCATACATGGCTAAAGAGCTGTACAAGCAGTACAAGATAGACTGTACAGTTCGAGACTTCCTCGGGCAGTGTATGGGGCAGTGGAGTACGATCCTCTGTCATCTAGGCGAGTGGATGGCGGCTGCGGAAAGCCGCATAAGGATAAGAAGGGGTATAGGCGACTGTCTGAGACCAATCTGGTTCTGCCTCTTTTTGAACCCTCTCAGTACTTTACTGGAGGGCTCCGGGAGGGGATTTCAGCTTCGGAAAGGAGGTACAAAAGTGACCCAACTTTTCCTATATGGATGACCTCAAATTATTCGCCTCCAGTCGCTCCCATCTTATGGAATTGCTAAACATCACTTGTGAATTTAGCAATTCTATTGGAATGGAGCTGGGGATGGATAAGTGTGCGGTCCTCCATGTTGAAAGGGGAAGGGTTGCTGACTCTGAAGGCATAGACTTATCTATGCCGGTCAACTTAAGAACCCTTTCCGAGGCTGAAACATACCGATACCAGGGTATGTCACAGAACATCGGTATCGATGAGGCTGGTATGAAACAGTCAGTTTGCGACATGTTTTATGCACGCTTGACCAAAGTGCTTAACAGCCTTTTGTCCGGTGTGAATAAGGCACACGCATATAACGGCTGGATCATGCCTGTCTTCATGTATACCTTTGGCATACTCAGGTGGACTCAGACTGAACTTAACGCCCTAGATAGAAACGTTCGCACTACCATGACGTCCCATAGGATGCATCATCAGAGATGGACGGTAATGAGGCTGTATTTGCCGCGAAGGCATGGTGGGCGTGGCTTCCTTAGCGCGCTCACCATGCATAATCGCGAAGTGTGCAACCTCCGTGATTACTTCCTGGCGAGGTCGAATGCTCCATTCTATAATGACGTCATTTCTAGTGATAAAGGACTTACCCCTCTATCCTTAGCCAACGAGCAATGGCAAGACCCGGCAGTGCAGAGCATTTTCGACCGGGAGACCGTATGGAAGGAGAAGGAGCTCCACGGGAGGTTCTACAAGGCTCTACATTGTAAGCCTTTCGTAGACCCAGTAGCCTCCCTCCTCTGGCTACGCTTTGGGGATACCGAGGGTTTTGTCTGTGCAATACAGGATCAGGTTATCAAGACCAACAACTATCGGAGATACATTCTAAAGGATGGCACCATCGACATTTGTCGAGCTTGTCGCAATCCCGGTGAGTCACTTAGGCATGTAATCTCCGTTTGTTCGGCGCTTTCTAACTCTGAGTACTTTCACAGACACAACCAAGTAGCTAGAATTCTACACTAGGAGCTCGCTCTGAAATACGGTCTCGTGGACTGGAAATTGCCGTATTACATGTACTTGCCGGAAGCCGTGCTCGAAAATGACCGCACCAGGCTCTACTGAGACCGGGCCATCATCACAGACAGGACTATTCTTGCGAATAACTCTGATATTGTGCTGATGGACCGGGCACAGTCAAGGATATTTTTGATCGACATTACCATTCCGTATGACGAGAACCTCGCGAAAGCCGAAACAGATAAACGAACAAAATATCTGGACCTGGCTCACGAGGTAATCGACATGTGGGGTGGTCTGCCGGCCGAAATTATTCCTGTAGTCGTCTCTGCGAATGTGCCAGTCAGCCTCTCGGGTCATCTGAGGCGACTGGGACTCTGTGACGGACCGCTCCGAGCTCAAATGCAGAAGGCGGTGCACTTTGACACCGCCCGCATCGTCCGCCGATTTCTTTCCCTTTCCTCCTAACCCTCGGCCGTTTGGTCTCTCGTCTGGTTGGATCTTATTTATTTATGTATTTTTTGTATTTATTTTATTTTATTGATATTTATGTATATTTATCTTTTGATTTTATTTTAACTTGCAATTATATATTTATAGAACCCAACCAGATGAGAAAATTATATAGATACCCCAAAAATAAGAAGCGGGGCATTTCATCCTAGTTCTCAGTGGTGACGCTTCTGTATTGAGGATAGATGTTAATGTCTATGTGCCACAACATCCACATACTATCAGATGGACTGTCTGTTTGTTTGTCACTCTTACTTAATAAAATTAAAATAAACAAAATATATTAACAATTCTAATGGAAAGTTTTTTTGTACGTAGCTGTGATCTTTCTTATTTTTGGTGTGAGGGTGACCGACATTGCGCTATAAACACCGCAGAGATCTGAGTCACGTGCAAGTCCTTTGTATGCATAAGCACATGCAGTGCCTGCAAACAAAACAGTACTTTATTCATGTGTGTGTGGATTACGTATACGTCTCAGGTATGGAGGGGCAATTCGCTGTACGTGATATAAACAAACGAGAGATAGACTTTCCGAGAAAATGCGTCATGACATCAGAGTATTGGTTAGGTTTGTGTTTTGTTGGCGATATGACATGCATTTGGTGTAAATAGATAAAGTGTCCAAAGAGTAGCGAGCTACTAGGACCACATTTAGCTAGATAAATGGACTTAGATGGATAATTGTGTAGAAGCGATAGGTCATCGCCTACACAATAACAAACCCAATATTATATTAGTCACCTTTTATAATATGTCAGGCAAAGAAGTTGGTATAATGTACCAATAATACCAATTTTGTTAAAAGTCCCGTATAACATATCTGTAAGTGCCGGGCCAACATGGAACAAATTCTTGAATATTTTTGATCAATCATAAATAACCAGGTTGGAGACAATTTTCGAATACTATATGATGTTGTTAATTGTCTATAATACTTCATAGTGCCGCACATGAACGTGCGAATTAACTGACTAGATCTACTAGACTACTAGACTAGGGCTAGGACGCAATGGCAATCGTCAAAAGAGAAATAAAATCCTTAATATATTTGAGTTGATATTGTGATGAACCTGCGACGTATGCAACAGGAACTCAAGTTAAACGAAGTTTTTTTTTATTAGATGGAGAGGAGGAAATCTTCAAAAAAATACTGGTCAAGTTGTTGTAAAATCAGTAGTGTGAGATTTTACCCACTAAAACCTCTTAAGTACCCAGGACTACGGGACCGCGTCAGCATTACTTCATGGTGCTGCTACTCCCCCTCATCGCTTCTTAACGCGACTACTCCTCCGTTTCTTCTTTTTTTTCTTCCCTTTTTTTCATCAGCAGGACCTCCCGAACATACCCCGTCATCGCTGGCCAGCTGTGGAACGACCTCTTCCGGCCTCTGAGGCCCCCTCTTCTCGCTCTGCCACCTCAGCCGTGTTTCACACAAGCGCTGACAGACAAAGAAGGTGTGCTCGGTGAAGTCGACAACCCCCGGACAGTACACAATCAGGAATGTTTTCGATTGTCATACGATGTAAATAGGCATTGAGACGTAATTGTCCACTAAACGAGGCGCTTATCAAGTTACGAACATAAGTATTGCAAGCAGAATTGATAATTTTCTTTTATTGCTACTTGACATTATGGAACGTGACGTGCCTTGTGTCCTTTACTGCTGGCCATATGAGGTAGCTAAAAGTCTCTTCGTGAGCTATAAGGAAAGCTATGCTCGGAGTTTCATTGCGTGATAAAATGCGTATTAACGATATCCGCAGTAGACCCAGAGTAACCGAGACAGATCAATGTATCTGTAAGCTGAAGTGGCAATGGGCCTACCATATTATAGCTTTAAAAAATAAACGATTTAGTTTCGGCATCATTTGAAAGATTTTCTATCATCAGTCAGTCATCAGACACAGGGTCATGTTAAACTACGTGCAGGTGAGGTAGGAATTAGTAGAAGAGGTAAATATATTTCTTGTCACATCCTTTTGCACTTGTGTATGTATATTACATATTAGATTATGACTAACACTGAACACGCTGATGAATTAAAGTTTTATTTTTTCAGTAAAGATAAAAGTTGAAAAAAAATGATGAGTATATATGCTTTGCTTGTTATTACACAAAATAGTTTACAATAAGTCTCAGTTTTAAAATAGAATCCCTTTCAATAAAGATGTCATTACTTCCAATAAAGGGGTCGTGCTAGGCGCTCGTTTTATTTTAGAACAAATTTAGGTTTCCAAGCATTTTTTACTTAAAATACTAGGTTTTAAGGCTCTAATAATAAAATATGTATGTATGCAATGCATTAATTAAAGAAATCGCGAAGGATGACCTGAGAAAAACGCATGCAAAGACTGAATATCATAATGGTGAGTCTCATACAACAATACAATCATAGAGACAGACTTTTATAAGCCTAAGACAATCAATAAACCACGTTTTGTAATAAGGTCCTTAGTGTTTGAGACAAATAAACTAAAGAAAGGGTTAAAAGACTATAGACAATAGCAAAAACACGCATATAAAGTGTATTCCTTTCAGGTTTGTCTTTGTCTTTATGCCTGAACAAACGCAAACTGTAAAGTCGGAATGCAATCTCGTCGAAGAAAAGTATTGTACCGTTTTTTGCCCGTACGTAACAAAATATCCCGGAGGGCGCACACTCAGTCGAAAATCGTTTTTAGCGGCTATCCCTCCCCCCTCACCGCTATTTACCTCTCTCGGATTACCCGTCTC